AGGGAGCGTTCCCTTACGGAAAAATCGCTATATACTTGACAATCGGTGTGTGCTTCTTGGTGGAAAGTGTTCACTAAAAATTAAAATCAAACATCATTGTAAAATCTCGTGCACGCAGAATCTAAAAATGATAAAAACAATAAAAAAAAAAATGACGTTACGTCCACTTGCGGCGTAACTGCGGGCGCCCGACGACGTTGATACGTCCGGTTTTTTAATTTCCTCCACCCCCCCCCCCGTTCCTTCGCCAGCGCCACCGCCCCACTCGACGGTCCGCCGAAACCGATCCGTCCGTCCGCCGCTATAACGATATAATAAAATATCCTCTTTTTTTCCCCCTTTTTTTTTTTTCTCTCTCATTATTATTTGTTTCACCGTTGTTTTTTTTTTTATTATTTCGCTAATCTTTCACACGTGTGTTTGCGACGGAATTCCACGTCCGGACGACGGCAAACGAACCGCACGCGCCACCGTCGAAGCTTTTTTTTTGTTTTCTATATTTCTTAGCGTTTTCCTGCTCCACCCTCCCCCCCCCCGCCACCTCGAGCGCGCGTCGACGGACCGGCCGCACCGCCATCGTCACAACATCGAGAAACGTTTTAATAATGACAGTAATTTTTATTTCTTGCAAAAACAAAAATATAGGTACACGATATGATATAATAAATTACAATACGAGTCGCAAACTCCCCAATACAAGCATACCGATCGTGGTGGGGATGAAGAATTTCAGTTCATTATAATTAATTTATAGAATACAGAACATAAACGGAAATTATCTCCTTAAAGAAAAGAAAAATACGCAGATAAGTCTGCGGACAGGCGCGTGCGTAAAATAAAATTTCCGGGGGTGTTTGCGAAATACAACAATACAAATTGTGCGGCAACATGATAAAACAATTTTTTCCTCCTCAAGCATTATTTTTTAATGCGACAATATTATGTTGAGTATCCGAACTGTACGTATGTCATTTGTTCAGAAGTAAGTATGTAGGAACAATAATAATAATAAGTAAAACTTTAAATAATATGTGTCGCTCGGTGGACGATCGCCCGACGGAAAATCAAAGGGCGCACGTACCGACGTGTGGCGATCGTCGCCGGTTTGAGGGACTTTTGGCGTTCGCACCGTGTCGCGGGAATCGGCCTCGACGCGGCGCGGTGCTACGGCACCGGATAATCCGCGGCGGACCGTTCGGAAACGCGTCGTCGAAAACGGCCCGAAAAAAACCGCGGTTTTTTCTGTTTTTTTTTTTCTCCTCTTTTTTTTTGCTCGACGTTTTCGACAAGATGACATTAACGTTGCCCCCGCGCCCGAAAACGGTCCGTTACGTGCGGGGGATACGAACAATATCGTCGTCGTCGTCGTCGTAATTAAAATAATATATTTCGGGGTTTTCGGCCCCGACGACATTATGAATAATATTAATTCACGAGTCGCTCGTGGAAAGTGCGCGCGCGCGTGTAAAACAAAAAAAAAAAACCAAATAAAAAAAAATCGGTTTCTCTTCGCCCTCGCCGCGGTCGCCATTGTGACGTCGCGACCGTTCCCGTATATTATACTTCTTTGTTTTTTTTTTTTCCTGTGTTTTTATCGTCGTCGTGACAAAACGCACGGAACGTGTCGCCGGCCCGTCGTCGTCGTTAATAATAATAATATTATTATTATCCGTACGTACGCGGTTCAAAACAAACGAAAACGACGAAAAAACACTCGGCGCGACAACCGACGATTTATCATCGGTTATTTACCGCCGTCGCGCACCCGAAAACGCAATAATAGTATCTCGGCGCGAGTGCCGCGCGCCCCTCGCCCTACGCTGCGCCGCACCGCGAGCCTCCGCCACCGCCCTGTTGTCGACGGACCCCCACTCCTCCCCCGGCGCGGCCCCCCGGGAGGGGGTGGCGGCGGCGGAGGGAGAGTGGGAGGGGGGGGGGGGGGGAAATCGACTTTAAATTCGCGAAAAATATGCACGGGCAATACATGCCGTTTTACAAAATAATTTCCGCTCTTTAAACCCGCCCGTATGTTCGAGAGGAAAAAAACGCGAAAAGTATACGCGTACGTATTCACGACGGTGTACGTTCCGCCCCACCCCACCGACCCGCCGTGTTATTGTTGCTGTTGTTATTATTATTATTATTATTATTATATTGTATTTTTCGGTGGTTTACCCCGCCCCCCCCCCGCCGCGGCACCGTTCTCTTCGAACGCGATCCACCCGGCGTAATGTAATAATATTATAATTTGTAGAAAGAAAAAAAAAATACCTACGCGTACCGGAACGTATCGGTACGGGAACCGGTCGTGTAAATACGCGAAACCGAATTTCTATATACTCGCAATAATCCGCACTATATTATCGTACACTTTTATGCACAATACGCATACGGGGGACTCGTATGAATTATAATTTTTTATTTTTTATTTTTTTTCTTCTCTGTAAGTACTTCGGCTACGTAAAAATACCGTCCGGAATACGTAATCGAGTACGGTGTTCGTTAAGAGGACGGTATAAACTCGCGTGCACACTGTCGCGGGCCAGTACACTATCGCGGGTAACGTGCGAAAACAACGCTTACGCCGGAACAAGCGAAACCGGCGTAATTTCGATTCTGGAGCAAAAGCAACGGTTGTGACGTTTATAGTGTACGACAGTTCGGAGGGAACGTCCTAGGTGTTTTTTTCTTCTTGGAATTATTGAAAATATACAGCCCGGTATAAAAGATACAAGTCTTTTTTTTTTCTTTTTTTTTTTTTTTTCGTTTTAAATAACTGTAACTTTCTTTTGTAGTTTATAATTCGAAAAAAAATAAAATAACACCCACTGCTTTCCCCCCGAGAAACATTGTTCGCTGTAAATTTCTTAATTGGTACTTTAACACTCTATACAATCAAAACTCGGCTATAACGTCCTCTCAAGAAAAATAACATTCGAGTGCGAATATTGCGGATACTATTGAAAAGTGTTTATAAATAAGTGTTTAATAATATGTTTGCTTTTTTTTTAATCAAATTTGTTGTACGCATATTTTTTCGTTTTAATAAGAGAAACATTTAACGTATTGCTTATCAGATTGAAAATTTTTTTTTTTGTGCATATGTTTTACTTTAAAGGGCGCGTATATATTTCTGCAAGATAAGAGAGTATAAATGAATATTGTGCAGTGCATATTTCTATGGTTTTTAGAGCATATAAATCCGGGCCCCAATAACACTAATAAATTGTGCTATAGGTTTTTTTTTTTTTTCGTCCAATATGATTCGATACACTTATTATGTTATTACCTATATTATAGCTCCGGGATGTTTTATTGTCGTCGCGACCACCCGCGGATTTACGAGGCGTATACGTACTGTGCGGAGAAATAAAATTCTCCTTCCCCCCCCGGTCTCTCTTCGAAAATTCCCGAACTCTTAAGTTATTATTATTTTACCGCCGCGGCGCTCGAGCCGAGCACGTATACGTTTGTATCTGTTGGTTGTTTTTTTTTTTTATTTTTTTTTCCTCCGTAATAATATACGACCGCAGATATCGTTCGAAACCGGAAAAAAATGGGGGCGGTTTACTGATATCGTAATCATTAACATTACCGTATACGACACGCGTGATCGGTGTACGATACCGATATTATTTGGGCCGTGAATTTAATGCACTAAAAAACGTTAAAAAATGCATTGAAAATGTCAAAAAAAAAAAAAAGCAATACAATATGCACTTAAAATACAAAAAATTCACTAAAATGTCAAAAATGTTAGTATAAAATGCACTTTAAATGGTTTTTAATTTAATTTTCATATTTATATTGACATCAGCATATTAAATGCGTACAAATTTATTTATTTAATAATAATAAAAACTATGAAAACGTCTATTGAATTCGAATTTTGATTCTGAAGTTGATTGATCTTTAATAATTCCATTTGCCAAAAAAAAATAATATTTTCAAAGATGTTAATTGACGGAATTTGATTAAAACTACCGGGAATTGAATTAAAAAAGGAAAATATGACCTAAACAATAAAAAACGTCAACGAATGCAAAATAAAAGTTTCTTTAATGGATTTGTTGTCACATAATTCAAATTACGTACTTACAACGTTTCTCGATCGCCAAAAAAAAAAAAGAAAAAGAAAAAGAGATGCGCTTTCCTACAAATGCACAGCCTTAGACATTATACATTGACTGCATGCATCCGAGATCCGTCCCGAATGGAAAATTTGAATTTAAGGATATACCATACAGTTCTAAAGCGGATACACACTAATATATTCCGTCCCGTGTAATTTATTTAGTGTACACGAGTCCCGGCCCTTTTGGCATTTTCTACACTTTGTGTAATAATACAGTGTAGAATTTACGACGGTAACAATTTTACGCGATAATATCGCTTTCTGTTATCGCGCCGAATAATCGAATATTTAATAACGCAATTTAGTACTTTTCACGCTCTCCGGTCGTTAAATCGTGTGCGTCTCCGCGTCTGGATTTTATCATTGTGCTCGTGCAGCGAATGAACGTAATATTTTAGTTAACCTTCTTTTCATTAGGGACGGAATCCGTAGAAAATATAGTTTTTTTACCCGAGACGGAATCGGTATGGAAAAAAAGGCTGTTGGAACGGAACTCGGCTGCAGCCATTATACATTTCGCGGAGCTCGTTATTGTTGTTGTAAATTCCGGGCCCGGGGTTTTTAAACGGGCATGGTGGGAGGGGGTGGTGGTGGTGGTGGTGGAGGTAAACCCAAAACACTCGATTTAAATAAAATATTTTGCCAAACCCGTAATAATATAACAGTGTGTTTACCTGTGCAATTATTTTTAACTTCGTTAAATGAATGGCGGAAACGGCGCGACGGTTATTATTATTTTATTAGCGATAAACTTACGATTTCCTCGCGCCGAATAGTTAATTTCCTTTTTCGCTATTCCGTAAACAATTTTTTCACCGGGCATCTCGGTGCATTAAGCGTACCGCCTTTTCCGAAAGGAAATTTTATCCAGTTAACCGGTACTTTAAAGTGGTCATTTTTTTTTTGTTTTTTTTTTTTTCAAAATTCACGATGCAAAGTCGTCGTGTCCGACAACGATGTCTCACGTCCCTCGGAATAAAAATCCCCCGTGTCTTTTTTTTTTTTTTTTTCTCCCCGCTCAATCTAGTTCTTCGACTTCTTTTCGTTCAAAACGTGTGGGTCCGCTTTACAACGCGCTGCGGTGCCCGTCCGTTTGGCCACCAACAGTCGTCCATTATAACGTTATTACATAAACGCCGAAACCGTTCGAATCGTTTGTCGCCGGGCCGCAAAATAACACCAGTTCGGTATTTCCTCCTAAAATTCTCCGCGTAAATAACCGAAAATAGATGCATTGATATCTACCGATTACGATTAGCGTGTTGTTATTGCGACGCGACATTATCTGCGTATTTCACCAGTCCACGGAATACTGTCGTACTTTTATCGAAATAATACGTGCGGGGGTTTCGTACGATAGGAAGCGCGACGGATTTGTATTTTCAGACCGAGCGTTAAAAGCGAGACGAAACGATCGTCACGTGGTTCGCAGAACAATAATTATTACAATCCTCGTTGAACGGATTTCAATTTTTTTATTTTATTTTAATAAACTCAACTGTGACGTGGCGTTTTAATTGTATAGCTGGTTACAAAAAAAGGTTTAAAAGTTTGTAAATATTTCAAGTTTTTGTTTATGATTATAAAATTATTGAGCTATTAAGTTATTGGAAAATGGAAAACGCCACAAAGAATTTTTTCCTTATAAAAACGAAAAAAAAAAAAATGATCGATCTATCATAATTATTTAATGAATGGTTTTGTTTCGCGTAAAACTGATTTTCCACTTTGTAACGCTATCTCTCGTGCGTTACACGCGAATAGTTTTGGGTAGAGTTTTTTCCGATTTTCCCAATATATTAAGTAAACTCTTGAGAAAATCAAAAAATAACCTTCCTAAAGTACCTCCCTAAGCAAATTTCCTTTCAGAAAAAAGTGCTGTCATTATATATCGGATCAATATTGAAAATTTGTTCGCAGAAAAAAATAAACATCATTATAAAACCATATAAGCTTCTTCGCTCCACTCAGAATCTAAAAGGTAATTTCAACGTACCGCTATATATGCTGCAGCTATAAAACCTAAAAAAAAACCAGCGTGAAACACGTTTTAATAACAGAAACTCGTCAAACGCACTAATCCTATACACGCGGTCTCGTCCGGCTTTTCGGTATGAAACGTAGAAAAACGGCCGTACCCCTTCCGGTCAGTAGGCTTGTATAGTTAAAATTTTAAAACGCAAAAAAAAAAAACAAAAAAAAATATAGATTCAGAAGACTGCCGATGTATTGTGATTTTTTTAACAGAACACGTTTTGTAAGAAAATTCTGAACTACGACGTCTCGTACAAAAATTTGGAAATTTCGAATTTCGTCAATATTAAAGGCGTAAGGTTGTCGAGCCATTCAGACGGTCGCCACCGCGTTGTTACCCTTAGTACTTTCAAACATAGATAATAAAGAAATCGATAGGCCCCGGAGGGTCGGTAAACTTAGGCGATTTATCATTCACTACTATATAGATAAAACGCCTCACTTTATGAAACTGCATGTAACTGTACCCGTCCCGCTTGAAACACTGATAAGGCCTATCCGTATCTTTATTATCTATGGTACCAATTGTAATAACTAGTGGCTATTTTTGTGTTCGCTGCGACACACTTTGCGCACTACGAACAATAATTAAAGTGTGCACCTGCCATTACCTGCGTTTTCGTTCCTGCCGAGCCACGGGGTTTCGCAGATGTATAAGGAAAGAATATTTTATTCTTTTAATTCACAGTGTAATCAATCCTCGATAAAGATACTCTGCATTTTCTCGGAAAGCATTTACTTTTTCGGAAATTTTTTCGCTCTGCTACTCTTAAAAAATAAATAGGTCTAAAACGTTACGGCAGGTGTGTCGTTATACTTGTTGTCATTCTCATTTTCGGGGGTGAAACCGCTAAACCCGCTTTTTATTTTTCAATTATTCCATAAGCACACGACGTTTTACACATGAAAAAAAAAAAAAATTAAAAATCGAATACGCTCGTATTCGTACACTGCGAGTCCGAAAAAACAGTCAATGGCGAGATTTTTTTCCCCCGCGCGAGTTTGTATTGGAGGTACCGGGTGATATTTTATTCTGAAATCCGTAAAAACCACCTGGTATACAAGGTGTTCCATTTAAGTAGGTACACCCATTGTCCCATATTATTAACCTATATTAAAATTTCCATAAATGGACAGTATTAATTAAGATACATTTTTGTGTCGACATTTTATGTTTATTTCCGTCAATCCGTCGACGAGATATTTCGCTTTTAAGTTTGGATGGGAAGGGGGGGCAGTAAAGAGAAGTATCGTTTGTGCGGCGCGTCACGGCATTTTAACGATGCACCACAAAAATTTATTATAGTCCGTTTACGGAATTTTCAATACAGGTTGCCGTTTGAAGAAAATCAAAAGTACGCAGCGGTTTTATCTCTCCCCGAAAATAAGGGCGAGGAAAAATGCGTAAACGTAAAATCGCAGAATCGACGCTTGTTTGGCCTTGAACAAAAATACAAATTCCGAAAAAAGCCAATACTTTCTAATGGTGTTAAAATTCATAGCTGTCGCTGTTACGTTTCACTGTGATTCAACGAGTGCCTGCAGTCACTCGTACATAAAGTAGCGGTGGTCGTATCACAAATCACTATCAGTGATGTTAAATTGTCAAATTGGAATTTGTTCAGCTGTAAAAAATACACTGTGATATTGTGAAATGTGAATAATATGCAATTATAATACTGCTACGTGCTATCATTGTTATATTATACATATTATTATTCTAATATTGTTATATTATAACCGTGGTCGCCACTCAACATTTTTTTGTTTCTCGTCAAAGTAACTGCTATCGTTGTAATAGGAAAAAAAATGATTTTATATTAGAAGAACATACATATAAATCGATTATTTAAAGAAGTATTTATCGATATTATAATATTTATCAATTTATTGAACTAACCGTTATTCATAGGTAATGATATCAGAGTTCGGATATTTATATACTTAAAATAACTGTAATATGTTTACATTTATGCTCTAAAAAAATTCCAAACATGAACTAAAAATCGTAAAATGCGCATTTTTAGTTGAAAAAAAAAACACCAAAATATGCACGAAACAATGTATTTTACAGCAGGAAAACGTCGATTCGCAAACTGTCGAGCTACGTCCAAATGCTGCCAATAAAATTATCAAGCAATGATGCGTATGCACATTTAATACATTTGGGGCGCAACGTCTCCTCTTGACACCCCCCCCCCCAAACACGTGGCTACGGGCCTGTGTATGGCCGTTAAGGTGGCGAAGATGACCGTCGTTCGTTTTTACTGTGATTATTTTGTTTTCGTCGCTGTGTAGCGCGATAATATTTACGGCGAGCGATTAGTATTGTTCACAGTTTCACATCGTCGCCGATACCATTTCGACGCGTGTATAGTTCGCCCGCCGCTCAACAAACGGAACACCCTGTACAACAAGCACTCGGAGAATCGCCGCAAACGGATATTATTACCGACTGGTCTCTCGCGAGACGACTGCGACTGCGAGCGCGGCGACGATAACGTGCGACCGCCCGCGGCGCGACGACAACCGGACGGACGGGGCCCGACGCATTTCGTAAACATTACGGCCGAATCGCCCGGTCCGCGGCACCCGTCGTCACGGTCTCGGCGTATCGTGTCGTCGAAGGGTCGTCGTCGTCGTCGTCGTCGTTTTCGTCGTTTTCGTCCGACCCTTATAATACGATAAATACACACACACACACACACACACACACACATATATATATACATATTCATGTACGTGTATATTATATACGAGCGCACACACGATACGCGGACGACGCACGGAATATAATAATAATAAAAATATCGACGGCCGGTGTCGCGGCGTAAAAGGGACCGGGGGAGGGGGGGGAGACGGCGCACCGCCGCCGGCGGCACAAAGACGGCGGGACGGTATCGGCTCCGGGGCGGTGTTCGGCGCGGCGGGTCGCCGCGTGTTTACGGTAATAATAATACACGCGTAATGTACGTAATATTTATATATGTACGGGTACACACATGGTATGCGTACCGGTTTTCGAAGGGGAAACCGCCAAATCGACGATTATTGACAGTTACTAACCAGAAAAAAAAAAAACGATTCCGAGCGGAGTTCGTGTTGAGCTTTGTCAACGATATACGCGGTAAAACTACTGGGAAAATCAACAAATGACCTCCCCAAAGCACCTCCCCGGGCGGATTTCCTTTCGGGAAGAGTGGGTGCTATCATTGAAAACGGGAGAAAAACCGCTGGCAGAAAAGTCGGAGAAAAAAATAAAATAAACATCATTGTAAAAACAATACATTCCTCGGCTCCGTTCAGAATCTAAAAAATATTCGATGAGCCGGTCGGCGGGCTGTATGACGTACAACATACATGCATACAAAAAGAACGGGCATACTTCGCACGGCGGGTGGGCCGCTGTTGTAGGCGAGGAGTCGGGATGGTATAGATGGGAAATGACGTGTTTATACATTTAATCGAATTTTCGATATTACTAAACGCCGATAAAATACACACGTGTGACGGATCAATGACGAACTGAAGGACAGAACATGCCTATATTTTGCATTATATTCGAAACAACGAAATTTTCAATATATTGCAAGATGCATTTGATGTTACGTTAATTTCGTAACAATGAACGTTTACGGAAAAAAAAAAACGCTACAAGTATTTATGAATTATTTATAATTCACTCGCGCGGTATATACCGGTATGAAAATTGGCAACAACGCTTTAAATTCATCGTTGCTAACCAAAACCGATTCGGAGCGGAGTTCGGTTATACGTGTACCTACGTAAATTCCCCTGTTTTTCCCCTGTTATTAATGAAAACCGCTTGGAAGATAAAAAAAAAAAAATTATATGAAAATGTGAAATACAATAACAACTACAGGGTTAATCGACAGTGTATTTATATACATTACACACTCTATAATCGCGATAAGATTTGAATAATTGAAATCTCTGTACAACACTGTAAAATAACTTTGCAAATCTAATTCTTTTCAATATTTCACCGAAACGTACATTTTCTATGATTTCTTTTTTTTACGAAATTAAATCGTATAATGTCC